GGCAGAGCTGCTGCTGCTGCTGGGCCCGGCACCCGTGCCAGGCTCGCCGGCCAGGCCAGGCCCCTGGCTGATGTGGGGCGGGCTGGAGGTGGGAGCGCCGCCGTGGGACGTGGGAGGCGGCGGCAGCAGGAGGAGCAGCAGCAGCAGCAGGAGGAGGAGCAGCAGCAGCAGGAGGAGGAGGAGGAGGAGGCGAGCCAGCGGCAGGGTATGCAGCAGGGCAGGGGCGCCGCCGCCGCAGCGGTTGCGGCCGCTCCTGGCGGCGCGGCGCCTGCTGCTGCGGCCGCGGGACCACGGCCAGGGCAGCAGGCGACCGCGGCTGACGCTGCCACGGGCCCCGCCGCCGCCACCGGCCGCATGCAGCTGCTGCAGGAGCTGGCGGCGGCCGCCAGCCGGCCGGGGGCGGCGGCGGCGGGACTCACCCCGGAGCTGGTGGGCGGCTACATGGCGGCCCTGCACCAGGGCCGCCATCAGCGGGTGGTGGAGGAGGAGCAGGTGGCCATGCTGCGCTTCCTCCTGCAGCAGGCGGGCATGGCGGCCGCGGCGGCGGCCTTCATGCGGCAGAACGTCTAGCGCCGCCAGGGGGGTGACAGCGGCGGGGCCTCTTTGGGCTGGGCTGCTGTGGCCTGGCTGCTGTGGCTGGCGGGCGCCCTGCTCAGCCTCAGTGTTGTTGTGCGGCCTCAGCTGTCACTGCATCTGTCAGCGGTTGCTACAACGTCTCTGGGAATGCATGGTGTGTAGTATACAACTTTTTGAGCTTTTCGTTGCTGATAAATCGAGCTGTTTGATCACCAAGCCAGCAACAAGATGCGTGGCACGAGTTGCGTTTTGTAAACTAATGCAGGCTGACTGGGCAGCGAGGAAGCAGCCAAGGGCCAGGGGGCGCGCCTTCATGCCCTGCCCGCCTCATTCACCGCCGCCCGCAGGATGGCGGCCGCAGCGGCCGCCATGCCCTGGCGCAGCAGCAGCTCAAGAATGGCGGCGCGCTCTTGCTCCGCTCCAGGCTGCCGCTGCCGGCCGCCCGCCTGCACGACTGCCCCGAAGCTGCCCACCAGTTGCGGCGTGAGTCCCGCGGCGGCCGCCGCCGGCTGGCTGGCAGTGGCAGCCAGGCGCTGCACCAGGCTGCAGCCGCCGGCTGCGCCGTCGTCGGCTGCGCTGCTGGCCGGCCCCGGCCCGCCACCCGCGGCCGCGGCGGCGCCTACCGGCGGCGTGCCTGGCCCCGCGCCGTCGCCCGCGCCGACCGCGCCCTCCGCCGCGCATCCCGGGAAGGCCCTGCCGCACAGCAGGCAGCACGCCGGCTCCGCTGCCGCCTTGCTCGCCTCCTCCTCCCTCGCTTTCTTCCTGGCCGAGCCGCAGCTGCCGCCGCCGCCGCTCTCGCCACCTTCCTCCTCCTCCTCCTCGCTTCCCTCCTCCTCCCGCTTCATCAAATACTTTCCAGAGGCTGCATCGAACAGCGGGCGGGGCCCTCCCAGCGCCAGCCGCCGGCGCCGGCGCCGGGCGCGCAGCGCAGCAGCCGGCGCAGCTTGCCGGAGGCCACGAGCTCTTTGGAGAGCGCCACCAGCGCGGCGCAGGACCTGGCCAGCCGCAGGTGCTGCATCAGCTGGCGGTCGCCCTCGTACCTGCGGCGCAGGCGGGGAGGGGAGAGAAAGACTGTGTGTGTGTGTGTGTGTGTGCGCGCTTGGAGTATGCATGCATAATGGGAGGCGGGAGCCGTGGAAGCCTGGCTGGCGCTGGGTCCTGCCTGCCAGCCCCGCGCCGGGCCCCAGGGCTGCCGCCGCCGCCTGCCACCCCGGCGGAGGCGGCGGCGCGC